TTTATAAACTTGTCGCTGACATTGCTGTTCGCTGTTGGCGTTGCCGTTGTAAGATAAATACGCAGTGAAAGTATGCGTCATTTCTATCATCCGTTGACGTTGCCGTTGAAAGGTCGGTGACGTTCGAGATAACCAACTATTAATTTTCGCCGTTACATTGTCGTTGATGTTGACATCACTAATTCCACGAAAATAAAATTTTGATAGAAATAATGAGGTCCACTAACATTAAGCTATGTAATCACCTGTTCACCGAGCAGGAGCGGGATACAGGATTTCGTTTGGGGGGGGGGGGGGGGTTGGGGGGTAAATTTTTGTGCGATTTTACCCATCTCCCTGAAATTGATTCTAAACAAAAAAAATTTTAAAATTTTAGCTAGAATACTCTTTTTTACATAACATGGGTGACATTTGGTTGTTTTCGTTACACGTATAGTGTACAGTAGAACCTCGATAATCCGAATTAATTGGGAAAAAGGTGTGTTCGTATTAACGATTTGTTCGGATCCGTGATTTTCCCAAAAATCTGAAAGGGAATTGAATAACAACTTCATACACAGTTGAAAACAAAATTCAAGAAATAAACCTTAATTTTATTAAACAAAATTTTCCATTATGTATTGCCACCATTATGTAAATTTCGACCCATTCTCTACGATTTTCGAAATTTAACGGAATACATTTTCTTGTAGATTTTGGGGCTCAGAAGTCACTTCTGGCTTCATTTCTTCGATAACTTAAACCGTTTTTCCAGATTCGTCTAGCTGAAAAATCGCAATTTTTAAAAATTTCGAAAAATTCGAATTTCACACCGAATTTTCCGAAAATATTGCTCGGTTACCATTAACACAGCACGTCGGGATATACATATATCCCTGAATTTTTTCAGAATTTTTAAGAAACTTTTTCAAAAATGAAATTTCCCTCATGCAAATTTCGACATATTTTCGACGATTTTCGAAATTTAACTAAATAATTTTTTCTTGTAGATTTCGGTCCTCATTTCTTCGATAACTTCAACCTTTTTTCCAGAATTAGTTAATTAATTCAGTGCATTGAAATATCGCAATTTTTAAAAATTTCAAAATATTCCATACGACATATGCAGAAAGATCTTGAGTCATCTTTGCAAGTAGGTGGGTGAGAGTTTTTGTTCGGATTAAAGAAGCATCGACTTCAAATAGCCTCTGTTCGGATAATCGTGAATTCGGATTATAGATGTTGTACTGTATTTACAAAATGAAATGCGATTTCAAAATTTTTTGTATATTTTTGTATATTTCCGCCTTTTTTTTTCTTAATATACATAGCCAATTTTTCATAACAAGAAGGTTAGAAGAAGGTTAAAATGGTACATTTTTGCAAGGAAATATCGTTTTTGCAATTATATTAAACTTATTTTATTTGCTTATACAAATTTTCCATTTTAAACATGTTTTAAGTTTCATATTGTGAAAAGAAGTGTACACATATTAAAACGAAAAGGCAAAATGTAAGCCGCCCACCCGCCCTGTCTCAATTGTGATGATTTTTTTTTAATCGCCGTGAATCAAGGGGGCACAGCTTAACTGCAAAATACTTATTTCTTTACAAGAAATTAAAAACATGTTTTTGAGTATCGCATATATTGTAGAATACGATGTATATTAAGAAAAAAAGACAAAATATAAACCCCGCCCACCCAACCCATCTCAATTTTGTTGATTTTTTTATTCATAGAAACTTGAAATAGTTTAAAATGCATTTTTCCATTATGTATTGCCACCATTATGTAAATTTCGACCCGTTCTCTACGATTTTCGAAATTTAACGGAATACATTTTCTTGTAGATTTTGGGGCTCAGAAGTCACTTCTGGCTTCATTTCTTCGATAACTTAAACCGTTTTTCCAGATTCGTCTAGCTGAAAAATCGCAATTTTTAAAAATTTCGAAACATTCGAATTTCACACCGAATTTTCCGAAAATATTGCTCGGTTACCATTAACACAGCACGCCGGGATATACATATATCCCTGAATTTTTTCAGAATTTTTAGGAAACTTTTTCAAAAATGAAATTTCCCTCATGCAAATTTCGACCTATTTTCGACGATTTTCGAAATTTAACTAAATAATTTTTTCTTGTAGATTTCGGTCCTCATTTCTTCGATAACTTCAACCTTTTTTCCAGAATTAGTTAATTAATTCAGTGCATTGAAATATCGCAATTTTTAAAAATTTCAAAATATTCCATACGACATATGCAGAAAGATCTTGAGTCATCTTTGCAAGTAGGTGCGTGAGAGTTTTTGTTCGGATTAAAGAAGCATCGACTTCAAATAGCCTCTGTTCGGATTACTGGATTTTGGTAATTGTAAGGAAATATGGATTTTGCAGTTAGGCCTCCCAACGAATGAAAACTTCATTACTATACTCAAAAACATGTCTTACATGGTAATTTTTTGTTGAAAAATAATAAGTATTTTGCAATTAAAGTCCACTCCTTTGGCTCTCGCCGATTAAAAGAAAAAGCATCACAATTGAGATAGGGCGGGTGGGCGGGGCTTATACTTCGTTTTTTTTCTTAATATACATAGTCGTCTTTTCGGAACAAGAAACTTACGTATTTGAAATGATAAATTCTTGTAGACAAATATGGATCTTGCAATTAAGCCCCGCCCCTCGATCCTGAAAAATTCATCACCATTGAGAATTGAGATCGGAGCGGATGTGGGTGGGACCTACCTTTTGGCTTTATTTTTTTCTTAATATACATAGTATTCTTTGAACAACACTACACGTAAAACATGTTTTTAATTTCTCGTAGAGAAATAAGTATTTTGGAGTTAAGCTCCGCCTTCTTGGCTCACTATGAATAAAAAAAATCATCACAATTGAGATAGGGCGGGTGGGCGGGGCTACATTTTGCCTTTTTTTTTAATATGTGTAACCTTATTTCGACAACAAGAAACTTAAAAATGTCTAAATTGTTTTTTTTTCTTCTACAACCCTTTTAAATACGGCAAAAGTTGAACATCAAATTACTGTCAAGGGCAACTTGGCAACGGAGTTTATAAATGACAATTTTCAGCTCTTAAAGTAACGCCAGCGGGAACAGCAGCTGCAACGGGAACTTCAACGTCAACAGCAAGGTTATTATAGATCCTATTTAATAACAGGATCTTTACAGAGTAGACTTCGACGATTGCTAGTTCTTCGCATTGACAACTACGCAAGTTCAAATGTTTCACAATTTTCTCGCCAAATACGCATAGGGAGAGAGACAAAGGACGAATTAAAGAGACATTAGGAAGGAAGTACATACTTTTGTCTTACTTTTTTCTGTACATAAATCACCTTTTTAATTTAAACCTCACCGGTTAATTTAAAATGTGTTTCCAAATAACGTTTAGTGACATCTTACTTCAGGTATTTCGTTGGCACTAGTTCAGAAAATATGGAAACTGTAACTGTACTCATCATTCCACATAAATATGACTTCTCGCCAAATTTTGGTTGTAGATAATTTTAAAATGTCACCTTTCAGTGTTTTGTATGATCTTTGGCGTGTTGGAAGCATTCACAAAACCATGTAGTATAATTCATAAAAGTTGGTTCAATTAAAAAAAATAGTGAACTAGAGTTGGTTGTCTTAAAAAATTTTAGTTGGTATACAATCTATGTGAACGTCTGTCATGACGTCAGCTTATTTATAACTGAGATTAATTCTCACGTTGACTTGTATTGTAAGTACGACGGTAAAGTCAAAATTGTTGACACAATGATACGACATTCACCACGCACAATAATTATTATCAGCAGAAATTAGAAAACTTGGCGTCAACAGGTTTAATACGTACAAAAGTAGCTGTGCAGGTCGTAATTGCAGTATGTTAATTTAAACTGCATTTCTGTCAATTTGACAACTTTTACAATTACATTTTATTTATTAGTTGTGTACTTAATTTGTAAGTAATGTTTAATTTAAAATACGGGTTGATGTATGGCAGCAATGAAATCTGTTATGAATCATGATATAGATTAAAAACTGCAACATTTGCTGTAATGTCTTGTATGTTTTTTTTTATTCGGAGATGTATTTTGCACCAAGTTTTGATTTTATTTTAACTGATGCTTACTCTGATTTAAACCACATACACTTTATGAGTCAGACATTCGTGAAAATACACGTGTTCCCTGGGGAGCAGTATTTTGAAAACAGAGAACAGAAAACGAGTATTTTTTGAATTTTCGTAAACATAACATCCTTAAGGGTGTTACTTATTGATATTTGTTGGCACCCTACGCGCAGGGTAGCTAAGTCACAAGGGGAATTATCCAATTTGAATAATTGTGCTAAGACTGTTACGAATGTTTTTGGCACATCGTATGAATGTGGCCTTAACATATAAACAACAAGTAGGTATGTTTTAATGATAAACTTGAAATAAGTGATAACAATCCGTGATTCCCTGTATATTAGCCTATCAATGTCTTATCTACGCCAAATACGATAACAAATATTTACTTGAAGGTAGAACGTAAGTGTATCTTTTCCAGGAAAGCGATAACAACCCGGATGAGCCGGTGCATTACTGTTGTGCAATGAAAAAAAAAAATTTTTCTTTAGATTTGACGCGTCTCTAGAATAAAACACGTGTGTTGACAGGCACAATATAAACAGTAAAGATTAAGGTGGAGCAAAATAACGAGCGTTTATGTGATTTGTAGCAACCTAAATATATGTACTTGAAAAAATTTAGTGGGAAACTGTCAAGAACAGTCAACACAATGTCCATGATATAACACAAAAATAAATAGGATACGGATTATGTTGGAAAGTTATCAAGAATTCAGTTTATTTATTAATAAAATTTCTCGTGGAAACTTCGCGTGTCGCTTCCATTCGGGCCTCGCTTGAACGTAGGACGGTTTTGATTTGTGGATAAACAAAGTGAAAAGAGATGCAGCAGCAATGTTAGAGGCAGCGATAAAGAAGAGCGAGCGGCGCGCATTTTTACCTTAGTATAATGACTTTAAATATTGGTCCGGAAAGGCCTTTAATGATAGCGGAAGCGTTCAAATGACAGCGTCCATGTAAAACCACACCATTCACCTATAACAAAAAACAAGAATGATATTGGGACACTACAGACCTGAGGCCGTAACACTGAAGGAGGAAATTCATCGAACGCCGCAGGCCGCACACCACTGCACTGCACTCGAGCGGAAACACGTACCGAGGACCGAGGACCGAGGAGTCGACGGCGGTTATCAGTGGTGATTAACGCGCGTACACGACGGAGACGATCGCTCGCCGGTCGGCACTCGCGAAGACGGCGCGGCGCGGAGCGTCGCGACGCACACTGGAACGATTCGAGATCATTTGCGGACACAAAAATATCCTTTTACTGTACATACCATGGAATTTTGATGGTTTTTAACGCCGTGTCTAGCTTCCCGGTGGCGGTAATAGGTTTTATGACGGCATAAAGTTCTGACGTCACAGGTCTTGTAGATGATAATATCTGAGGGCACAAACAGTACGACTGTGAGCCGAATATTGATTACCGCTGAAAAAAATGTTTTCCTTGTAAAAAGGTGAAGCCATGAAAACCTTAAAAATGAAAGTCCACTGGCTATAACACAAATACTAAGTACACACCATAAAATAATTAAAAACATGTTTAAATTTTAATTTACAATTTTTCGGAAGTGAAGAATTTTATAAAATGCGAGGCGGAACTACGGCAACACACATTTCCTAGAAATACATCATACATTATTATGAGTTTACAACTTTTCGCCGATAGCCGATGTTAAAAAGAGGCGACCGTGGATTTTGAATAGGCAGCGATTTTTTTTTGACCTTAGTAAAGAAGTCATTTTGCAACAAGAATTTTTGTAGATAATGCAACTATCTACAATTTTTGCTCACAACTTTTCAGAGTAACATTAATAACAAAGAAGTTATGAATAGAAAAATGACAAAATTTGGAACGAAATAACCTTTGCATTTTCAGTCCTACAAAAAATTACTTTTTAGAGTTTTTTTTAAAGCATTTCCTCATAAATGTTTACAATTTATTTTGCTTTATGATTTGTCAGCGTTTCCGAAGAAGGTATCCTGTATGATGGGAAAATTTAAAACTTATATGATAAAATTTGGATAAATACAAATCTGAACATATAGAATAAAAAATCTTAACAGAAATTTCTAAAAAATGTTAATCTCATGCAAAAGTTATTAAAAACACATCTTCAACATTTGGAAACTCAAAATTCTGAGAAAAAATACTGGTCGAAGTTTATCTCGATAGAACTTTCCTTGTTCCTGAAGTACAAGTCCAACAAATCCCGCTTCTTTGAAAAATTATAAAATCAGATTTTGTGATCTTTGTTTTTTGATAACTTCTGTAATGTTTTTACAGAGGCATAAATAACACCCCCGCAACTCCTGTGCCGTGGGGGCGCAAATTGCTAGGGATTATGCAAATTGTACAAGTACGGACAACGTAAAATATATATAAGTTCTAGTTTCAAGTGTTTTTTTATACATCGGAAGAATGTCACGTAGAAATTTGTTTGATTTGAATGTGTTTGTCGCCTCCAAACAGAGGATTAAAACTATTAAGATCCCAGCGATGGTTTTGTTCATAGACTTTAGGAAGGCATACGACTCTGCGAGTAGGAAGCAACTATTTAAGGCGATGAGGGAATTTGAAGTATCGCCGAAATTGGTCAAGCTAACAAGAATGACTACAAGCAGGGTGAAAGTTAATGGAAAAGTGTCGGATAGTTTCGAAATAAAAATGGGGATGTGACAAGGTGACAGCTTGTCAACGCTGCTGTTTAATATAGTGTTAGAAAAAATTATTAGAATGGGGAATTTAAACCGAGAGGGGCACCTAGGTTTTAAAAGCCATCAAGTGGCGGCATATGCAGATGATATAGCCATAATAGCAAGAGGAAAAAAACCTCTAAAAGACATCATCACCAAACTGATTGAAGCAGCACAGAAAATGGACTTGCATATCAACCAAGAGAAAAGTAACCTTTTAATAGTGGAAAATAAGGCAGAACCTATAACGCTAGATATAGAATACACTGGAGGACAAGTAAGTTTCAAGGGGATGAAGGAATTTGTTTATTTGTGAAGTATACTATCAAACAAGTGCGACAAAGAGAGCGAGATAGAATGGAGATCACTAAAAGGGAACAAATGTGGAGGAGGGCTAAATAGGTATTTTGGGGTGAAGAAAATATCCAGAAGTATAAAGCAACGGGTCTACAAAACAATAATAAGGCCTACCGTAGTATATGGATGCGAAGCATGGGTTCTAAACAAGAAACTAGAAGAGAAATTGCTTAGGCGGGAGAGAAAAATCTTCAGAAGAATATACGGAGGGAAAAAAGTAGGTGAAGGGTATGAAAGAAGGGTGAACAAGGAAATTTATGACTTATATGGGGAAGCTGACATCTTGGAGGTAATAAAAGGAAGAAGATTGGAGTGGTAAAACAAATAGCGGACAGGCAACAAGAGGGAACAAGAAAAAAAGGAAGACCGAGATTAAGATGGAGAGAAAGAGTGCTGCAAGACATTGAAGAAAGAAAAATCAAGAATTGAAAAAGAGAGGCAAGGGACAAGAAGGGTTGGAACAAGCTCATACAGCTCAGGGGCCAAGGGCCTGTTTAACGCTATAATAATAATAAATTATTGTAATTCCTATTAAATAAAGATGTGCGTATTCTCATTTTATCGAAAAATGGGGTGACTCGTTCTTAATTTGATCACTAAAAAATTTGTTATGACGTCATAAACATAGATACTACACACCTCTAGAGAAAAAGAGAGAGAAAGAACGCCTTAAGCACTTGACCATTCTTACTTATATCTTGAGTTACTGGTAACATGCTATTATATTGTGTTAATTTTTTTGTGAACTTTTGGTCGTTTAAGGAAAACACTCAAAGGGGGATTCCGTACACTGCAAGTATATGTAGATGTTTATTATTGCATGACATTTAAATTATTTTAAAACAGAAATCTTTGAAATGACGTCATGAAGTTGTTGGTGGTGATGATAAATCGAATTTTGGTTAGCATTTAACCATGTACATGATATACCTAATATGACATATGACGTATGACATTTGATAACAATCGGTCCACTAGTTTCCGAGATTACGTGTTTAATAAAAAAGGATACAGACGCTAGACAGATAGCCAGCCAGTCAGTCAGTCAGACAGATAGACAGACAGGCGGAAACGGGGTACTACTTTTTCGCCCTCTAGGGGTCATGAAACGTCGAGAAAACAGAAAAGTGGCTATTCGTCCGATGGAATCTTAAACTAAACAAATAAGTTTTATACAAAATCTAATTTTAAACCCTATACTCCTCAGAAAATTTTAAAAGTGAATTTACATAATACAACAAGGATAAATCAAACAAGTAAAAAGCCTAAAATTTAAAAAATTTATAGAACTTCTGAGAAACCTGAAACAAATATCGAGGGAGCATTAAGTGTAAATGAACACTTTGTTTCTCGAAAAACAAAGAAAGATTCCTTGTATTTTGTTTTTGACGTGAGTGTTTTGGGTGCTCTTACGCACTTAACTATAATTCGCCTATTAGCCGTCTTACTTCTTATTCCATTTCCATTCCCCATAAATCTCCCTTTTCCCCGTTACTTAACTCAAACTATTGTTTCACCCTCCTAAACCGGTTTGATTGATAAATACTTCTTCTTTAAAGCTTTCGACGAAAAAAGAGGGAAGTCATAACTTTGAAGCCTTTGTTTGTCTAAGGGCCGGTTGCATAAACGCAAATCAAATTTAATCTTTGATTAACTCCATAGTAACGATTGTTATTATCATAGTTACAATTGTTCTTAATCAGAGATTAAATTTGATTTGCGTTTATGCAACCGGCCCTATGTGTCTGAGGCACCGTGGATGAACCGTTCCAATGCGTTTTTTTTTGTTTGAAACCTGGTTCAATCGGCATGATGTTTAACTATGTTTGATGATAATCACTTCAGCTATTTTAAGATCATCAGTTCATATCATTTATGTTATTCCCGACGCAGAAAGAGGCGTGTTATAACTTTGAAGCCTTTGTCCGTCTGTAGCACCGTAGCTCCCAAATGAATGAACCGATTTCAATGAGATTTTTTTGTTTGAAATCTGATTTAATCGTGATAGTTCTTGATGGAAATTTAAGTGTTTCAAGATCAGGCCATAACACAGTTGGCGTATAAATCAATTAGGCCTTTTAAAAGTTTATTTTTTGTGTTGTGGGTTTTTAACTTTCTTCACTTTTTGTAGGATTGAAAATATTAATGTTACTTCGGGTGAAAATTTTTCGTCCCCTAGTTTTTCAACTTTTCCAATCATAACGGTTGTATTATTTATGTTGTGCGGAAAAGTTATTAATAAAAGTAGTAGATCTCACGGTTACGGAAATAAATCCAAAAATAATTGCATTTTTATTTTCAATATCGTGACCAAAAACAACAATCCCAGTCCTAAACCTAAAAAAATTACTGCTTACCCAAAATGTATGGTCTCATGCCGAATTTATTACGACGCGACAAAATTGACCACCAGGAAGCTAGATAAGGCCAACATTTAAAAGTGTAAATGTTGCGAGAACCGAATTAACACCAATTGGTACCCTAAGTATAGTGTAGTGTCTCAGTACTCAAACTGATAAGGGTGAACTTTTCCATATGGAATATTTTTCACTAAAAGAAATAATCTAGAAATAAAAGTTCTATGGTGTACAGTTAAATTTACTACTAATTGGAAAAACATAATACCTACAATTGATTTTATATGAAACATTACCCAGTAGTGTTGCTAATTTGCTAAGACTCCCAAATTCATGAAGAAGTTCCTGCAAAATTTGTCAAGAACGGTCATTCCATATTTGTTTAAGTTCAAAAACACTAAACAAATTTTATTATTTATATAAAAAACAGCTATATATGTATTATAGCTGTTTTTTGCAATAGTTGATAAAATACTCTAGTTTAATAATATATTAAAACACAAGCAAAACTGCGTGTCAGCCTCTGTTTTTAATAATTAATTTAAAAAGTTCACCTTTCTGGAAAGGTTAAATAAAAAAAAATTCGTTTATATCTTCAACCAACTACGGGACTTTAGACTTCAAAGAACTATTAGTATTTTCGACGAAAAATTATAAAATAGGAATATACTTATTAGAAAAACAGGTAAAGAACACGTTGCACATTTCACACGAAACTTATTTAACAAAACTGTTGTGCGACATGAATAGTTTTTCAGAAGACTTGGATACAGAAATTTTGGTTAGCGTTTCACTATTTTGAAAATAAGCTTAAACGTCCTTTAAAATTTCACAATAACAGGAATCATGTTTATAGAATTACCCTTTAAAAAACACACAGGCAAGCAGATTGGAAACCTAAGAATGTTGCAATTAATATTCAAAACAGTTATATTATCGTCTGAGTCGTGATTTAGAAATGTAAAATCTGGTTAATAAAGAAAGAATAAAGAAAAATGATTGATGCTTCGTTGTAGTGACACCATCGTCGAAAAATGAGTTAAAAATAACATTATTCGAAGCTTCAATTAAACGTAAAAAACTAAAAGCTAACTTAAAAGATATTTGAAACGTGATGGGTTAAAAAATTGAAATTGTAACCAATAAATATTCAGTTCCATTACTAATAAATGTGGCAACGCTACGATTCTGTAACATGTCATTCACAACTAACATAGACCACATTTTTAGAAACGGATCATTTGAACCGATCTGACAATATCGTCCCGAAATATTCGGCGTGAAATCAGTGGTTATAATAACACTGAGATTTACAAATCTTAATAAAATTACCCGATCGGTTTATTATAAAACGAAATGTGGGTGATTTAATATAACCTCTAATAAAATTACGTGTCATGGGGAATATATATATATCATATATAGAAAACGACACTAAAGAAATATTAAAATCAAGAATTTCACACGAAGGTCTTCATGAAAAATAAATTAAATCCAAAAATATATTTTTTAGAAAATCTTTTGATCATTTGTGTCGGTTTTGTAAAATATAAAATGAAAAAATTCTCTTGGAAGAACTGGTAATTCAAGGCTGCAAATTATTTTGTCATTAATATAAATAAGAGCGAAACCTCCAATCATCTCAGATAAATGAAATTTGCTCCTCCTGTATTAATCCACTTTATGAAGTTATGTTTGTTTCAATTGTGCAACACTTGGCTTATTTACAATAGAAACTGGTTAAAAAACAATACAACAAAATATACACCCCAAAATTAAGAAAATTTTTATGCAATCCGAGGATTTACGCTTAGGGACCCAATCGGTAATTCAAGTTTAATAAATATATATGTAATTGTGTATATACTGGGTGTCTTAGACTTCATCTCCCGAGCAGCAACTTCATTATTGCTAGACAAATGGATATGTGGTGAAGAGTAAGTTTAATAACAGATTGAGAAGCTATAAAAATCTATCTATTTTTAAGTCAGAAATTACTTTTTCTTTTTAATTAAAAGAACTTATGATTTTTTGGCATTAGTATGATGTACCTCACCTTCTGTAACACTTCAACTTCCTAACAAACTTAGCCTTTACCACATATCGATATCTTCATTATACACGAGAGCTGTTGGTGAGAAAAATCGGACACCTCGTAGTTTAAAGTGTTGATTAAATTATACAATTATTATCATATCAAAATGTTTAGAAAATCTGCAAAACCGACGCTTCGTTCCACTGTGCGACGCCGTCGGACGCGAACTTACCTCGAGTATTTCGTCGCCGATCTGGATGCCCCCTGTCTTGAACGCTGCACCGTTTGGATTCAAACCGCACACGAAAACGGCCATACAGTTGCGGTCCTTGTGGCCGGCCAAACTCAAACCCAAGCCTTGATTGCTGCGCTCCAGTTGCACCATGAGGATGGTGTGGCCTAGGTTCGCGTATTTCTTCTTCACTTTGTCTGGAATGAAAGAGAGCGGGTTTAAGCACGAATGTATTTTGGGTTGTATAGCTATAATCTATGAACAGAGTTTTGTTAATTTTAAACTTGTAGGTGGTATCTCACGCTAATTGTCCGAAAAAAAAAAAAAATAAAAGTGCACGTTTCAGAGAGGCAAATTCGTTCTCCAACGTATTTCATTGCCAAGAATTTCAGAAAATGCAGTTTTTTAAGTCAACTCTCGACTGAAATTGAAGCGCTGAGAACTAAATTTTTCGAATGAATGCAAAGTAGGTAAATATATTTAATTCTGTTTATGGCTGGTCGTTTTCTTGATATAGTGGCTGTTTAGAGCAAAATTTCATTAATAGCCACACGAAAAATACGGCATACAACACGAATTGGGTATGGTAAGAGCATCATTTTTGAAAACAAATCAAAATTTACATTTTGAAAATTAGAGAGGTTTGTTTAAACTATAAATTACAGGCGCTGGTTCGAAGCTTGACGGTGGGCAAATCGTGAACAGGGGGGGATTTGTTTTATTCTGTGACGAATTTACCTGACGTGTCTGCAAAGATCGTAACAGAAGGAACAGAATATGATTTTGATTGTGTTTGTAGGTCGTGTGTAGTTGACATTCAACATCATGAAACTATTTTGTCTCAGTAGTTAATCGAGAGAATCTCTGACACGAAGTATGTTCCTAAATACAACCCTGAAATTTATGGAGATATCAAAGCGGCACGCGTGTCTGAAAGATCGACGAAGATTTCTACTGGGAAGGTTGTTGGACCATTGTTGGCCTAAATGACACTAACAGGATCATAAAATTTTATTAGTACATAAAAATAGTGTCCAGTCCAAGCCGCATGCTCATAGTCGTTATATAATACTGGTTGTAAAATATATCATTTCCTATGAAATTTAAAAAATATATTTATATATAAAAAGGCCAATTTATTCTTACTCGTATGTCTTGTAGTATTCTCCTTTGGGTCAAGTTTCAGATTTACATATTGGTGACAGATATGTACAATTTCAAGCTTGTTATGTTTGGCGCAAGTCTGGCTTATGTTGGTAATTAATAAGCAAATGAAGCAAAGTTTAGTCTACAAGTCGTAGGAAATAGTTTGTGTTCTTAGACATAGTTTTACATTTGTTGTTAGTGATGAATAGTTGTTTGTAGATCAATTTTGGGTGCGTCTTCAGTAAGCAAGCGAAGTTTGATAACTGGATCAATTTCTCCAATGCCTAATTAAATCCAATTTCATGTTTTTTCGATGTTTCATAGCTCCAAGAATATGCAAAAGTTTATCTCCCGTTTCCATCTATCAATCATCTGACCGTCGTCTGTTGGCGATTTTTAGTAAATAGATAATAAACAAGATAAATAATTAAATATTCGAGTTTTATATTACTTACTTTATTGACGGAAAAACATCCTTAAACAACACAAAGAAAAAATAATAAAATCACATGAGAATATTACAATATTTTTAAAATAAGATTTGCCTTAACTTAGTTTGAAATTTAGGAAATGTATCTGTATAAAAATCAATTCTGCTATAAATAGAATTACAAGTAGATAATATATTATTAAGTGGTGAAAACAACAAATAATTCGTAAAATTGAATTTAATGTAGAACAAGGGAGCTTGTCTAACATTGAACTGAGGAACATAGAAGTTAATAGAATTAAGAATGTCAGAATCGCACATATTGTTTAAAAGTTTATACATAAAACAAATTTTGTGAAAATCACGACTTACACTTAATAAAGACAAACCCAAATAAGATTTACTAAGACTAGTAGAATAAGAGAGCTTAAGGGGTAATTTGAACAAAATAGATTTGACAAACTTATTTTGAATGCGTTCAATTCTATTCTTATGTATCTGATATATAGGATCCCACAGTATGCACCCATATTCCAAAACTGAACGGACCAATGATGAATATAATACTAGAGAAGTACGAATATCATTAAAATCATGACAGTATCTCTTTATACACCATAATACTTTATTAGCTTTTGAAACAATATATTCGCAATGCAGGACAAAGGATAATTTTTTGTCTAAAATGATACCAAGGTCTTTTACGGAAGAAACAACTTTTAAGGAATTATTGTCAATAGCATAACATGGAACCGATGCCAGAATTTTACGACTAAAACATATTACTTGACATTTGCTATAATTTAATTTCATTAAGTTATTCTTACACCACAATGAGAGAGAATCTAAGTCTCTTTGCAGTAAAAACATATCGTTACTATCCCTAATAGTTTTAAATATTTTTAAATCATCAGCGAACAGGCTAAAATTACATTTGAGTATATTAGACACCAGTGGCGGCTCGTCAGGGGAGGCAGTGCCTCCCCTGGAAAAATTGACTATTAATTTTTGTTTTAATATCTGTTGACTTCAAATATATTTTAAAGATACAGCAAATAACTTTTATGGAACACTGTGATTTATTAAAACGCGTCTTGGTAACATATTTTGAAGTACGCGCTTTCGACAGGAATAAGCGCTGATCATCGTCGTGTAGGCCAGCTTCAGACGGAGGCATGCCTCAGATAGACGGATGTCTTCAGTATGATTAGTCAGTGGTGCTAATATGTTTTTGAGAAAGACAATAGTCATCAGTGCTTTATCAAAGCGCCAGCGGAGGCACCAACGCCTACCTCCCATAAGCCAATCAGATCGAATTTTTTTATCTCACGGTGAAACTGCACAATGCTGAACAGGGATGCTGAATGCATTTAGTGTACATTTAGTTGTGCGTTAATTAGACGCGAGGAAAGGTGTTCACTGCATGTGCATTGCCAAGGTTATGTATTAAAACTTTTAAGTTAACTTGGAAACAGTAGGACAATAAAAATGTCAGTTTTGCTATGCTGATAGCAACATAAGAATCTATAATCTCCAGAATTTCTTATAAAGTTTAAATATTTAAGCACGGTTTCCTTACGACGAACAATTGTATGTCAAAGATTTAGAACCTCTCATGCAGATATGAGCAGAACTTTATTAATTAATTGATTAATAAGTATACAGGGTGTTATTGAAAGGTACGTACAACAAAATAGACAAGTCTTCGCGAAGTCTAAGAAGTCGGAAAAACTTATTTTGTGTTATCAAAATCATAAGGGGAAAATTAACCCTTATCCAACCTTTTTAGACGCTACTGAAGGATAAATAGGTAAAATTAATTTATTTTAGTAAATCCTAGCAACTGTAACAATAAAACTTTTGTGAAGACTAAATGTTGCTATAGAAACGAAAGATGATCGTTTTATCAAAGGCGTACAACGAATTTGGAGATAAATTTTAATAATTTTTATCTCTAAAAGGAGAACACTTTTACCTGAACTTTTCTTAACTTTTAGCGTCTATACTTCGAGACCAATTGCCGATTTTATTTTGTACGAATCTTTCAATAACAGGCTGTATTTAAATCAGCCCTAGATCATATGAATTAATATTTAATGCTAATAAAACAAATTCTGCAGTCTTTAGACCTTCTCGTTGGTTTGTGTAAAGCAGTTAAATGTATTTTATTCGAAAAGTGTACCCATATAGAGATATGTTACTGACTCAGAGCTAATGTATTGTTTTCATAAAAACGAATAAACAATCTGTCTTTTAACAGAAGTAATTGCCAACATGTTAATTAATGCCTGCTGATTTTGAAACGAAATTGTTGCCTCACCTAACGAAAAGACCACGAGCCGCTACTGTTAGACACATCATTTATATAAATGGAAAAGAGCAAAGGCCCGAGAATTGACCTTTGTGGGACCCCAGAGGTAATAATCTGCGAAGACGAGAAACAATTTTTGAATTTCACAATCTGGGATCGATTATCAAGGTAACTAGTAAACCATAGAAGTTGATGACCAGACACACCATAAGCGCTAAGTTTATTTATTAATATTTTATGACTAATTTTGTCAAAGGCCTTGCTGAGGTCAGTATACACAGTGTGAACTTCAGCACTCTCAGAAAATGACTTAATAACATTATCAGTAAAACTTAACAAATAATAATAATTGTTCTATTCTTTCTGCTTGCCCACCCCTTGCCTTAGTTCCCTTATCCTACGTACTTCTTTGATCCAGCCCACTACTCTTCCATCTTTGTTTAGTACTTCTTCCCTACTTTCCTCCTATTCTCTTAATCCATCACATCCTTCCTTCTCCCTTTCTCCAACATATCCTACACCTTCTGTCAGTTTCATCCATCCAAAAAGTATTCTCTTTCTCTTTATTTCTGCGTTCTTGCTTATCTATATCCTTATCTCTTACACTCAGTTCTTCTTTCATACTCCTTTCGATTTCTCTCATTCACTTTATTTCTTCACATGCATATCCCTTCCCTTCATAATACTTGTCTCTTTCGTTCCAAACATGTTTTCCCCCTTCTTTTCTTATTTCTTTCCAACATTCTTGCAATATTTTACAATCATCTCTCTCACTAAACCTCTCTTCCAATCCAACCGCCCTTTTACCCGCTTCCACTCTCATTTTCTCCCTTTTTGTTTCTTCTCTCACTATATACCCCGGCGTATACTTTTCCAGTCCCAATGTCCATTTTAAGTTTTTTTTTGCACTGTCTCTATTTCTTCATATTGCCTCCATCCCCAAATCTCAGCTCCGTCCATAAATACACTTTTGATCAAACTATCAAACATCATCATTCTTCTCTTATAATCATGTCCAAATTTTCTCTCTCCTATTCCCCATGCTATTCCTATCACTTTGTTCGCTGTTCGGACCATTTCTTGAATATGTTCTCCATCTGAGTTATTGCTCTTTAATGTATATTCTGAGTACTGGAATTCTTTCATCTGGTCAATCTTCTTCCCTCACCATGCCCACTCTTCTTTCTCCTTTCTTACTTTCTTCCTAAACACCTCCATTTTTGTTTTTTCCACATTCATTTCCAATTCCTTTTTTTGTACGTACTTTTCGAAACTTTTAACCATTATTTTCATTTCTTCTCTTTTCTTTG